GAGGAGGCACTGAGGTGTCAACTGTTCCGCCAAGTGTAGGGATTTGACGTGGCATTAAATCAGCAAAACCAGGAGGTGGAGTAGTAGAACCTGGAGGAGCTGGTTCATCAACACCGGGTGGTCCGTCGCCAACAGAAGGAGGGGGCAATGAGGTAGTAATTCCAAGTGGAGGAATTGATATCACACTTAAACTAGGAATGTCAGGAAATCATATGTTTGAGTAAAAAGGAAAAAGATAAGTTCAAAAAAAGCCAAAGTCAGAAGCAATAAAGCGTTAAGAAATTAAAAGCCGTAAGTTTAAAAGAGAGATTCTAAATCGCATTGAAAAACATTAATATTACTGTTTTAAAAACTCTAATTTTGAAAAATTTAAATGCCACTGAGAATATTCTGTTGTTAAATATTTATCATCAGTATCTTACTAACAACTAAAGAATCCTAATAATAACTGTTACTAACCTCTTTCCTGGAGGTGCTGATGTTTCGATAGGTGGCGGAGGCTTACTGAAATCTACTTCAACAGTGGTTGGGGGGTTTAAGTTAGCAGTGGAGATTTGCTGTCCATTATCACTTTCTGGTGTCCCAACCTGAACATCTGTTTAACTGATCTGAATTCGAAAAGAAGAAAGCAAAACAGTATAAAATTATTTACGTTTGAAACAGAAGTCCCGGAAGTGCCACCTGTTCCTATTGCACGGTGCTGTTGCCCAGCCGTAAGAACAGTTCTGATAACAGGCTGCTAAAAGATTACAAGATCTAAAGTTGAGCAAAACCCTGAACCCTCCCAACATCTAAAAAAGAAAGTCGATACTTGCTCCACAGCTTTAAAACTTGATAAATCTATAGTGTTCTTATTCTCCTGACCGATAATAGGGATGGTCTGTAACTGTCTTCCGCCTAAATAACAGCAAACTTCAAAAATTTAATTACTAAAAATAACAGTATGGCAAACAAAAGTTAGAAACCGATATATAAAGAAGAACCTGCACTCTGCGAGACCGGATTGATAAGATTTATACTTGAAAACAACGCCTTATTTACAGCAGCTTGCGTTCCATATTCAGCCCTCAGCTTTTTTTGCCTTTCACAATACATATTCCAGGTTTCTAAACAAATTGGAAGAACCACATTTATTTCAACAATCAATTTTTTCATAGTACCTTCACAAAAGCCATAATTGAAATAGTCATTAATGTCTGCCCCTGGTTTTCTCCACGGCCTGTCTTCCACAGAAGCCAAATCGAGATCGTAAATTGGTTGACCATTAATTGAAGGTGTTGCATCCAGATCTAATTTGCCACCTCCAGCAGCCGTTTTCTAAGAAGTGGGAAAACTAAGCAAAATATCGAGTGCGAACATTAAGTAAAGTTCCATTATACTTTTGCAAGCAAACTGTCCAACGAAAGTCTGAAGCAGTGCTTCTAAACCTTCTAAATCCGTTGTTCTCTCTGGAATAAAAATTCTATTAGCCTCCTCTCCCAAAATACTGCCCTAATTCAGATCGCCTCCTCCATCCGTCTGGAATCGCTGTATTACTCAAAGCTTAAATTTTCTTACAACTAACCATGTTACTCTTTTAAACTGATGACTTCTGAGATTCAGTACATCTTTAAAAACCTTAATTTTCATTCCGCCGTTCCCTGTCCGCCCGATTGAAAAGAAATTGGTTTAGGAAGACAAGTAACAAAAGCTACAATTTAATGAATCTTCAGAAGTTACCGGAGCAGTGCTGAACGAAAAATTCTGCTTGACTTGACCGATAGTCACGACAAACCCCTCATCATCACTCTCCTCTTCGTCGTCTTCCTCTTCCTCACCACCAGCCCCGTCATCCTCAGCACCTTCAGCATCTTCATTCTAGAAAATTTTTGAAAACGCATTACCGCCTAAAATGAAGTGACTCTCCCAAATAAAATTAGACTAACAAAAAAAAATTAAAAAGATTTTCATGCCACAAATTTATCACGAAAAATTTTACTTGAGTCCCCTCAGTGGACGCTTCGTTGACATCTTCACTATCAGCATCTGCCTTTTTTTCTTCTGCTTCTTCATATTCGTCTACATGAGATGGCGCTGCTTCATCGGTATAATCTGGTTCATCCTCAGGGTCGTGAGGAGGCAGAGGCTCCTCATAGGATTCTTCACCACCAAACCCAGGTATGCCAGACATCATACAGTCGCCCGCTAAAAACATCACAATAAAAGGGTAGTCCACAGCTTTATAGCCCTCTAAAGAAATACGATTAACTTACCAAACACTTGATGTAAAAAACATTTAGAATCCTAAAACCAATTGAAACAATTTCATTTTAAACAAAATTGGTTCAATAACAATAGGACACATGTAGAACTGTAAGAAAAACAGCTACTTCCAGCTCGACCCAAAAACGTCTCAAAAACAAAAAAAAAATGGACTTGGTAAACGAAGAACAAGCCTCACTAGATCTAAAGATAACTTTAAAATTAAGCATTATGTCCTACCAGTACCACAACACAAAACTGTTCGAAAAAATTCTAGCATCATAGTTTTTAGCAAAAATATCTTGAGATTACCTCAATAGCTTAGTGTATGCAGTCGATGCTCTACCTCAAGAACGTACTCTGCATCCAAAAACCTGAAGCTATGCAGTAAATTGAAAATGTCACCATTAATCTGGCGCAAGTGATAAAAGAACACGTTAAGAACCAAAATGCAACCAGAAACGTGTACAAAAAGTTAGATAAACTAAAGACAGGACAAAGAAGTAGGCCAGGCAAGGTAAAACGGAATAATGCAACTAGCTACACTAAACAAAGAACAAATAACCAAACAGATGAAAAATTGTTTGATCGCAATACCTACCACTATTTTATTTATTTTCAAGGGAATGTCCAGATATGCATAAATTAGATCGTCAACCAATAACGTCCCACAAAATGGAACAAAGAGAGAAAACTTTATTGCTCGAAAAATAACGAATATGGAGCAAGAAATGAGCAACATAGGTAACAAAACTATTAAATGCTACAAAACTACTGCTATACATTGAAAACAGCACAGCGGAGACACTGCACCTATTCCCTTTATTTACTTGTTAATCTAAATCCGGCAACCCCTAATTTTCAAGCCTTCCTTCCATTTCTTTAATTAGGCAATGCCATTCTTAATATGCTATAGAACTGATGCAAATGAAAAGAGGAAGCTCTCATTATGATAATAATGAAGCAGAAATCAATACTGGCAAACGCCCGCTGAACTGACGAGTACAACACATAAAAAAGAATAAAATTTAACAAATGAATTCTTTGTACCACCTAATAAAGAGCATCCTTTCTGCAGGATCCCATACTGAATATTGCCCGGTGAGGCTGTCAACTACCGTTCATCAACTGGACGAAACAATGTAACAAATTTCATTGGCTAATAAATTCTCATTGACAAGTACATTAGCAAGTTGACAAAGTTGCGAAAAAAATCGATGACTAGAATAAAAAGTTAACTCTAAGGAGCGTTCCTTTTACAAAACACCAAGACACCAATAAACTTTCATTCTCACTAAGCATATCATAAATGAGCAACTACAATAACACTTTGGGAAAGCTCAGTGTGATATACTTATACGTCATAAATAAAAAAGTCATGGAATCTCAAGTGACTGACAAAAATTTGTTTGGAAAAAACTTCAACCCTTCCATACTGTCATCTCGACACAGCCTCGCCTGTTCTTCAGCAGCCAGTAATCTAGAAGTAACCTTCACTAATATGCAGCAAATAAATAAGTACCCTTGAAAATAATGTAAAGAAAAAAATCCCAGAAAATAAAAACTTAATCACCATTAATTTTCAAAGACACTAAAAATTTAAAACCGATGAACAAAATAAACTTGTCCTTTAATAAAAATAAAACTGGCTTCTCACTCATTCCTAGCCATTAAATTAATGCAAGATGACAAAAATGGTTTAAGTAAAGCCATACTTCAACTTAAAAAGTTCTATTTTGCGACATTTAATCTAGATAAACTTTAATCAAAATGTTCGAGATTGACACAGGGTAAGAAAAAAGCACTTTTATCCATCTTCTACAAAAGATCTAAAAAACTTAAAATTTTTTTCAAATCATAAGTAGCGTATAAATCTTCAGCTAAAACTAACCGTTCTTTCGCAAGCACAACTGTAATTCCGAGGCTGTCAGCAAGGTCTTTAGCACTACAGGAACCCATCGCGGCGACAAATTCTGCGGTACTATCAATTGTCGTTTCAACGCTCATTTCGCGTAACTGTAAAACTATGACACCGCTTGGAAAACGATGCATCCTAAAATAAACTTCAATACTAAGTGAGTAGAATAACCAACCACAGGAATAAAGGAGAATGTAATTACTGTACAGTTAATCTTCTAATGTCAAAAGACTGAAAAATAAAAATGCATTGAAGAAAAAGGGCATCTGTTACGCACGTTATTGGTAAGGGAAGCGTATGAAGTGCTTGACAAGCATTCAAAAGGTCCTCAGGCGATATCAGTTCCAAACCACGAGCCCGATTGACTCGACAATACGCTTCTGGCATCGTCATCATACCACCGCACTCCTGTGAAACAACAACTGACAGCTGTTGTAGTGATGTAAGAAGCCCAAATTATTCAAATGAAACTAGTAGAACAGAAAAATAAAGCACTTATAAATTGCAAATTGAGTCACAGTACCTTCAGCGGTTCAACAAGTATAGAAGACAATTCCTCGGCGAGCTTTGAATAATACTTTGCACCACTTCCAAACGTTGCTTTTGTTACGGGGTCACTGACTCCAAGACTCAATAAATAGGATTTAAAACGAACTGTCTAAACCAGGAAGAATATGCGAATGTACAAGTAACCCAACCAGTAACAGCTAAATCCAAAATGGAAAAATGATGCCATTAATGAGTTTACCTCGTCGTCACTTATTTCTCCTTTACGACTTCGAACTTTCTCTGTAATATTTTTTGATAAAGCAACCATATCGCGAGCAGATTCCATTAATCTACTCATATCCTCGAAAGCCTAAAAAAGATTTTGGTGCTTTGTTCATCTGCATAATAAAAAACAATGTATAAGTAGCAACGAAGAATTCTGCATACGCTCTGTAAACAATTAGAGGTAAATATACAGAAAAAAAAGCAATTATTTTAAAAAAATTTGTGTTTTTATCATAAAAAATATGCATTGGCAAAATTCAGCAAACAAGACGTACTGCTGGAAAGAGGCAGTAAAATTTACCATACTAATACTTTCGTGAGTTCTTCGATGGTTTTCTGCATACCGCCTTTCTATGCCAGATATTCCTACAGCTCGACTAGTTACTATGCCACCACTACTGCGTGACTGTAAATAGAACTGGTAAAACCAGAAAAAACTCGAAAAATAACTATTCAAGTGCATGCTTGGACCTTACACACAAAGAGAACATTACAAGACAATATAAAGTCAAGCTGAAAAAATATAAAAGGTTTTATTTCAAATAACACCAAAGTCACAATAGAAAAGAATGATTTATTGCATACTCTTCTTAAATCCTATAAACTTATTTTGGAAAAAAATAGTATTTTGAAAATTAATTTCTTTTTTTTCCGGAAAAGAGCTCGACTGATATGCTGCCACTGCCGTAAAAACTAAACATTCATATAAGGGTGCCATTAATGCCGTAACAGTGGTTAAGAACTACACAGGCGAATTAAATTGAGCAGCATAGTCTAATAAATAAACAAAAAAAAGCACTACAAAGGAACAAACAAGGAAAAAGTTTAAAGCCAACTCCTAGAGAGCTAGACGTGGAGCTTGACATAGTTTCCCGCCACGTTTGTCGTGCAAGAGCATCATTGTATTTTTCAAAAAACTGAAAAAAAATCTAAGGTGTCCAAGACATTAGTCGACTAAAAATATTTAATTTAGAAATTACAAAATAAGAGGTCTAAAGAATTAGAAAAAAAAACTCACGTCATCTTCCCCGCCACTTTGAAAAACGAAACGAATAAAATTGTTAGGGCTTGAAGCTACAGGGCTGGTAAATCGACCTGGTGGTTTTGGATTCAAATAAACAACAATCTTCCCTCCCCGACGAAACATAGACCTGTGATGGCGCTCAATTTTCGTGACCAAAGAATGATGAAGGACTAAGCGGCAATCCTACAATTATAAAAGCGCATAAACCACATAATTTAAAACAAATACGTTTATTATAAACCAGATTTAAAAGTTACTACGGCCTTCTTTTCGACATCAATAGGAACCATTAGTCTCGGAAATAAAAATGAAATAAAAAATAGTTTAAACGTACAGGATCATTAGAATCTGCCCATATTACCCGATGTAAAGTTAGTGAAAGCGTTCCCTGCTCGTAGCCAGTCTGAAAGTTAATGATAAAAGTTCGGAAAGTTCCAGAAGACAATAGCTGTCGTGAAAAACAAACAAAACTCCGATTTGGCAACTCGGGAAGAGTAATTCATAGAAGAGTTGTTGCAGTTTTAGTAATACCGTTATGTAATTTTTTTATTCTTTGCTAGGATGTTTGCTGCAGATTTCCTTCAATATTAGCAGAAAATAAGATTATATCTGACGCTTTAAACCATAAGAACAAAGTTGTGGAAAAAAGCAATGCTTCACAAAATAAAAAAAAAAAGTGAATATACCTGCTTGGCATCTCCATCAAATATCCCAACATGACCACTTTGAATTAAAATATCTTCAAGACATTCCCCTGGCTGATAATAAGCAAGTCTATCCATCAAAAAAGACTTGCTTCAGTCAAGGTGAACAGAAGAGGGGACTGAAAAACAGATTTTAGAATTACAAGCTAACAAAAACAAAAACGTTAACGAGGAAAATCATATAGAATAATCTTAAAACTAAAAACGACAAAATTCGTCTCACTGACTTCATCAAAAACAAACACGAAAAGCTACAGTCAAGAGCAAGACTAAGCTTGGAGACCGCAATTGAAATTGAAAACTCTAAAACAATTAAAGATAAAGCACAAAATTTAGACAATCCGGTATCAAACTAGGAAATAGTAGTAAGTAAAAACCAAAAAACTATAAGATCACCACCACTATCAACAAAATCTATTACGTTCAAGACAGTTACTTTGAAAAAATGAAAGTTATGAAAAGTCTTTTATCCTTTGTAAAATAACAACTGTACAATTCCTCTTGACTATACAATTACTGTGAATAATATACACAAAAGAATACGGTGAATACGTTTACCTCTCCAAAGTGCACTGTTAAGGTTCCAATTTCAAATATTATCTTAATCGTTCATAAATGAAACTAAAACAGATCAAATAGGATTAAACAGGATAGCCTTTTTTTCCGCTGAACAACCAGCTCTTCAGGAGTAGAAAAAAAGCATCTAAAAGGAACAGCAACCTGTTGAAAAATACAGCACTTATCCCTCTTCTCAAAAATCATTCCGTGAAGAAACCTTTCATACCAAAAGTATGAAGCGCAAATCATCATAAGAGTAACTATAAGTGATCGTTCAATCATTATGAAAAAATGACTTAAGACAAAAGAAAAAAGTTTATTCTTTTAACACTTTTACCATACTTCTTACTCAGCTCCCATGTAACTACTAATTACAAGTTGGAAGAAACAACAGTCAACTAACTTTTCAGTAACAGTAATGCCAGAAACAAGAAATAGAGAAAATGACCAACGACATTTACATATCCAGAGAGCTGATCAATTAATTCAGGTTGAACTCACACAGCAATTGTCGTAAAGCATTTATCAAAAATAACTGTTCATTTTTACCAGTTGAATACCTTGCTGGTGACACCAGTTAACACTGATGAGAACAATATAAATCATAAACAATTTTAGAAGATTTTAACGACTTTTCTATCGTTGCCTTTCATAAGAGCGTTTAACAGATTCTCCTCCTAGGATTGGCACCAACTTAAAAAAAACAATATCAACAACTGCAACAACAACAACAGCATCAGTAACTATATTACATATTACGATGAACAACGCTT